ATAAGAGCATGATTGGGTGGCCTTATGGCCAAGATGGGTGGAATCAGAGATTCTGTGGGCAGTAGGGGGCTGAGCAGCACCTCTGACACTGTCTCAGAATCCCCTCCCTTTTACCTAACCTGCCTCAGGCAGCAGGAAGCCCCGGATCTCTTCCAGTGGCTCTGCTCAGATTCCCTGAAGCTCTGCTGCCCCTCTGGCACCTTTGGGCCCTCCTGCCTTCGTGAGTTTCTCAAGTTCCTCTTGGGGAATGGGAGGGATTTGCTAAGGCCAGGGATTCAGTTCTTTCTCTACCTCCTTGTGAGCTGAAGCTATTCAGATAACTTCTCTGAGTATCAGTTCTTGGCTGCCTCAGGAGCAGGTAAGATGAGCAAATCAGTGGGTTAGGCTTTGAAAAAATGTACAGGGGCTAGACTGAGCGAGATGCAGTTGTGGTTATTATCAAGTTGTGGTTATTATCAAGAGAGCTCCCTTGCCCTCTTCATTTCCTGCGCCAGACCAGACTAAGTTACCTTCCTGGGAGGAGCAGGGGTTGCCCTGAACCCCGATTATTCACCATTGATGCCCCTCCCCAGAACTGACACAAGAGCTGAACTTACCACCAGCTCCTGAAGATAAAAGGCTGGAGCTACTAAGATGGTCAGTTCAGTCTCTGTAAAAGATTTGGGAGGGATGTAGCTCAGTGGTGGAGTGCTTGACTCCCATGTATGAAGCCTTGGGTTCAATCCCCAGCACTACCCAAAGGGGGGAAAAAGATTTTTAACAAGCTATGTGTTCTACAATAGGATATAGATTGTGCAGTTTTATGACCAAATATGTAATCATTAAAATAAACTTTCCTCTCCAAATGTATTTGATGTTATGCAAAATATACTCTTCTATGTCAAGGTGGTATATATGGTCTCACCCAGTTTGGTGTCTGCCCACAGCTTGTCCTGGGGGTACAGAGAGGCCCTGTGGCGGCTACGGGCAGTGCGAAGGGGAAGGGACACGAGGGGGCAGTGGGCACTGTGACTGCCAAGCCGGCTACGGGGGTGAGGCCTGTGGCCAGTGTGGCCTTGGCTACTTTGAGGCAGAGCGCAACACCAGCCATCTGGTATGTTCGGGTAGGTAACCAACTGTGTGGTGGTGGGCAAGGGCAGAAGGGGCATCTGCCTGCCCATCTTCATACCACACCTATTCCACCCAGCTTGTTTTGGCCCCTGTGCCCGTTGCTCGGGACCCGAGGAATCAAATTGTTTGCAATGCAAGAAGGGCTGGGCCTTGCATCATCTCAAGTGTGTAGGTAAGTGGGGCCTGTGTGGTCCTGTGTGGTCTTGGGTGGGCAGGGCCTGGCTTCATTTTTTTCAACACACACACACACACACACACACACAAACACAGGTGCCTGAGCTAGACAACACAGTTCTCATCTTCATGGAGATCTCACCCTGGCTGGGAAGGCAGAAAAGTAACCAGTGGAGATTGACCTGTGTCTGGTGAGGGGTGGTCTGGGATGCAGCTCAGGGGAGGTAGTGGTGAGAAATCAGTGGCTTCCTGGAGCATGTGTCACTTTGGCTAAGTCTTGAATATTGGAGAATGTTTAGCCAGAGAAACAAGGACACTGAATGTAGGGTCAGGAAACCTGGGTTCAATACTTATTTTGGTTCCTGCTTTGCCACTTAGAGGGACTAAGCCATTGTAATAGAAAGATTCCCAAAAGACTGTGACTTGAAGAATGTAGAGATTTATTTATTGTTTTATATTACAGTCCTGAAGTGAGTGGGCCAGTCTGGCAGGGAAGCTCTGTTTGTCACAGTCACTCAGGGACCCCGGTTCCTTCTTTCTTACTACCTAGTCCTCCCCTTGGGCATTATCTGTGTGTTTATGCTGAGTCACAGGTCCCTGAGATCCATGTCCGGACGTTAGTAAGTGAGAAGGGGAAGACTGTTTTAAGGCCAGGCCAATAGTGGAGTACATTACTTTTGTTTACATCCTGTTGTTCGGATGTCAATCCCAGGGCCACGTTCAACTCCAAGGCAGGCTGGAAACCATAGTCTCTGCATGGGCAGCTGAGTCTAGCTACACCTCTACTTCTGTTTGTGGGAAGCTTGTCGTCTCTGCCACAGCACATAATCCTAAGCAAGTTTATTCTTTGACCATTCTGGCCTCGGTTTCCCTGCTGATTAATTAAATAAGGATTGAAATTCCCACCCTTTCCATCTCTGCAGACATCGACGAGTGTGGCACTGAGCGAGCCAACTGCGGGGCTGACCAGTTCTGTGTGAACACAGAAGGCTCCTATGAGTGCCGAGGTCTGTGTCTGTCCTGTGGAGGGGATGTGAGTGTGAGGAGGGGAGGAGGAACTGCTGCATGCCTCTCCCTCCAAAATTCTGTCTTCTCAGGCTGGAGTCCCCTAGGCCTCCTCTTCTGGAGCATTTCCCCAGGCCTAGGGGCAGCTTTCATGTTTGTCTCTCCCTTCCCTAGACTGCGCCAAGGCCTGCCTGGGCTGCATGGGAGCAGGGCCAGGCCGCTGCAAGAAGTGTAGTCCTGGCTACCAGCAGGTGGGCTCCAAGTGTCTCGGTGAGTCTTCTCTGATGGGACCGGCATCTGGGAGGGCCTTGTCCACCGTGAATTGAGAGGGGCTGGAATACAGGCAGGGAGCAGAAGGAAAGCAGGTGGAATGTAGATTGGGCAGCAACAGAGAGAAATATCAGGTCGAGAATGGGATTGAGTCAGGGTGCTGCATGGGGGGGCCTTGCAGTCAGCACTCTGACCCCTCCCCATTCTCCCCCCACCAGATGTGGATGAGTGTGAGACTGCAGTGTGTCCAGGAGAGAACGAGCAGTGTGAGAACACGGAAGGGGGTTACCGCTGCATCTGTGCTGAGGGCTACAAACAGGTAGAGGGCATCTGCGTCAAGGAACAGATCCCAGGTGAGCCCCTTCTCCAGTTGGCAGCAGCAGGAATAAGCTCTTGTCCCATCCCCACTGCCACTCAGTCCCCTAGGAGGCTGCACTGAATTCTGGACCCTGCATCTTCTGTCCAACTTGGCTTTTAGTAGCTTTACCTCCCAGGGAAGAATGAAAATTGAACTTGGGATCAAGTCACCCTGTTCCCTAAGCCTGTTCCTCATCTGTTCAGTGGCACCAGTCCCTGTCCCCTGTGCCTGAGAGCTGCCATAGGCTGGAGATGTGAGAAGAGTAATTACAGCCGTGACCTTAGGGACTACTTCCACAGCTCTTATCTTGTCTGACATGCTGTTCCAAGCACACGAAATGTATTATTTAGCTCCTTGAAACAACCCAAGGCCATACAGATTCTCATCCCCATTTTATGTATATGGAATCTAAGATGCAGAGAGGCAGAGAGGCGGAACAACCTACCCAAGCCCACATTGCAAGCAGGTTGCAGAGTTGGGATTCAAATGGGGATGGTCTGGCACTGGAACTGGACTACACATAGTATGTGTTCTGCCCCCAACTCGCCCATTGCATGGCCTTGGACCAGCCCCTCCATCTCTCTGAGCCTGCTTTCCATTTAGCAAGACTGGGGTAACTGCCCCATGTGGAGTCATTCTGAGCAGTAAACAATGCTGTGTGCCTGGTGTGCTGTGCAGGCCTGGCAGCAGTTGAGTATGTGGGAGTCCTGGGATAGCTCCAGGAACTGCCAGGAACAGGAGTAGGAATGACAGGCTGCATCTTCTCCTCCTCCACAGAGTCGGCGGGCTTCTTCTCAGAAATGACAGAGGATGAGCTGGTGGTGCTGCAGCAGATGTTCTTTGGTGTCATCATCTGTGCATTGGCCACACTTGCCGCTAAGGGTGACTTGGTGTTCACTGCCATCTTCATAGGGGCTGTGGCAGCCATGACTGGATACTGGTTGTCAGAGCGCAGTGACCGAGTGCTGGAGGGTTTCATCAAGGGCAGATAATCCCTGTCACCACATGTAGGATCTCCTCCCACCCAGGCTGCCCCCACTGTTGGGCCTCTCTCCAGATAGTCACTCAGGGCAGCTTGGTTTATTTTGGAAAGTGGGATTAACATCCCCTTCCTGCCTTATGGAGGAGCACAGGCTCTCAGGCCTGGGCAGGCGTGGCCCCTGTGGTGAAGAAGTAGCCCTGATGCTGGATCTCATGAAATCTTTGCCTGTAGGGGTGGGAGGGGGGACTGGGCAGCCTTCACAACAGTATTGTGAATTTGAAAGGTTTCCCCTCGTGGTGGTTGCTAGAGAACTTTGGCTCCTGCCTAGGATGAGAGGGGTCCCCACAAGGGGCAGGGCTGCCACAGCCCTCTCCTGCCAGCTGCATGCTGCCAGCTCCTTTTCTGTATTCACCCCATCTCCCTCAGCCATCCATTTATTTATCCATCTCAGGAAATAAAGAAAAGTATTGGAAAATGGAGTAGCTCCAGTCTTACTACCTGTCTCCCACCACCTGCTTAGGGAAGTTTTTTAACATTCTGGGAAATTGAGAGCTGACCTGAAAAAGTAGAGGGAAGACAGAAGGTTGGCCCTGGAGTAGTGTTAAGAGGAGGAGGATAGAAGAACCAACCTAAGAGAGGGACTCTCTGTGTTCAGTACCAGCTGTCATTTGCAGAAGGACTTAAGATAAATGGCTTTTACTTCTAAACTTCACTCCTTTTATTCCTAAAATGGGTCTGATAATGTTTTTTCAGGCTTAATGTGAGATTTTTTTTTTTTTTAATGTATACTGGGAATTAAACCTAGGGGCGCTTTACCACTGAACTACATCTGCAGTCCTCTTGTGAAATTTTGAGACATGGTCTCTCCAAGTTGCTGAAGGTAGCATCGAACTTCAGACCCTCCAGCTCAGCCTCTGGATTATAGGCGTGCACCACCGTGCCTGGCCTTAATATGATAATTAAATGAGATGATGTTGAGAGCTGAAATCAGTGCCCAGCAGATATTCTGGTGAGACACTGATAGTTGTCATTAACAAAGCCTGGAGCAACTTGTCCTCTTGTTGGATACTGGAGCCTGGCTTGAGCAGAGGGACGCGTGAGCCAAATCTTAAGATTTTATTTCTTTGGCACAAAGAGGACAGTCAATCTGGACAAGCAAGGCTCATCTCTCCTCACTGTGGGGAACCTGTTCCCTGTTCCCGACGCTCAAATCCATGCACTTCCACCCTGTATTCCCTGTAAGTCACGGCCTCTGTGTAAAATACCTGCTGAAAAAAATAGAGATATTTAAAAAAAAAAGTGGGGGGGGGGCGAGTTCACGCCTGGCTGTCGGGTGGGGTCCGGTGTGCTGTCAGGTGGAGGCCCAGGAAAGCCAGTTTTTCAAATGGTCGACTGTCCTGGTATGCCATAGCGCAGGGTCCAGGTCCTGCAGCGGGACAGCTCAGAGCTCTATGGTATCGCTGGAGGCGCTGCGGGAGTCCCCAGCCTTGCAGCGCGGCTTCACCTCACCCTGGGGCTCCCCAGGCCGCGCAGGAGAGGATGCAGGGGCTGGTGTTGCAGCGGGCAGTAGCTGTACCGTGCTGGGAAGTTCATCTAGGGGTAGACTATCCACCGACGACAGCCCATGACGCCATGGATTCCAACTGATCTTGAGCGAACCTCTGGAGAAGCTGTCTAGGGAGCTGCCAGAGGCAGCTGCCGTCCCGTCTGGCGCGTCCACTACGTGCGGCGGGACCGGCCCGCGCACGCGCACATCGCTGAGTGACCGGCAGCGGCCGCGGAGGAGCGAAGAACCCGCGCCGTCGAGCTCGGCGTCCGGGTGGCTGCCCCTGCGCGGCCGTAGAGCGCCCCCCGGCGGTGGGGAGGCCAGGCCACGCAGGCCGCAGCGCTGAAACACGCTGTCTCTCACTAGATGTTCCCGGAAGAGAGCGGCGTCGATGCTCTGGCTCAGGTTGATGGGTGATGGCGGCCGCAGGTCTAGCTCGCTTAGCGACGGCGCCGGCCCCATGCTGCTGCGGGATATTCCCGGGCCATTCAGGGGACCGCGACCCAGGGACGCAGCTGAGCCCCAGGCTCCTGAATTTGGCGTGACAGGCGGCCCGCCTTCTGCCGGGTTGCGGATGAGGCTCTTGCTGATGTCCAAGCCGCCTGTGCCCATGCCACTGGGTCCCGCATAGCAGTTATTGGGTCGCTCAGGCACCTCGCTCTTTCCAGACGGTGCAGGGCACGCCAGGCGCAGCAGCTTAGCCCAGCAAGCGTGCTCCGTGGGCGGCCTGGGTCGTGCAGCGACCAAAGCGGCCAGAGCCAGGGCGAGCGCCCACGTCAGCTCCAGCAGGCGCAGCCAGAAGTGGACGCCCCACCAGGCCCACGAAAAGCGGCCCACCCGGCCTGGGCCTGGGTACAGCCAGAGCGCGGCCGCCAACTGCAAGCCGCTGGCCAGCAGCCCCAGTGAGCCCGCCACGGCCAGCAACCGAGGACCGGGGCTGGCATCCCAGCCCCGAGGGCCTTCCAGCAGGCGGCGACGGCACAGGCATAGCGTGCCTAGAGCCACCGACGCGCCCCAGGCGCAAGATAAACCCTGCGCCAGGAGGTTGAGCACAGGCCTCACGGAGAACAGGTCTGTCATGAGCAACCCCACGCCGTGCACCAACGCCACAACCCCCAGCAGGAGCGGGTTCTGTAGCGGCTGTGGCAGCCCCACGCCCAGGCCGAGTAGGGTCAGGGCCGCCAGGGCCGTGAGTAGCAAGGGGAACGGCAGGTTGTAGAGCACCAGGCCAGCGCGCATCCCCAGCCGCGCCTGGGCGCCATAAGGGTCGGTGAGCATGTAGGCAGACCGCAGCCCTGAAGCTACCAGCACCAGCACCGCGGCTACCAGTGCCAGTCGGGGTCCCGCCAGGGCGGCTGCCAGCGTGGCCAGTGCCAGTAAGGCAGGCAGCAGGAAGAGGACTCCCACCCCATAAACGTGCAGCTCCCAGGAAAAACTCAACACCCGTCGCAAGGGCCCCCAGCGCAGGGGGGGTGCGGTGGCGTTGGCTGGGGGGCCGGCAGCGGGCGCTGAAGCTGTGGAGCTGGCTGAGGGCTCCGGAGGGGGCGGCTGGCCCAGGGCTCGCTGCGTAGTGACACGAATGAGGCCCCTTCGTGAGGTTGATGGGGCCTGGACTGGGGGTGCCGGGGGATGGCTTTGGGGACGTCCAGGCCACTCCTCCGATTCATCTGCAATAATATTAAAATGCCTTTTGAAAAGTGCTCTTGATTTTCCATCGTTCTCTACTGTGGTTGGCAAGTAGAACATTTAACTTCTCTAAGAACATCCATCAAATGAAGAAAACAGCTCCTGCCTCATCGAGTCGTGGAGAAGAATGTTTAACATGGTGCTGGATGCCAGTGAGCACTTAGTGGGTGTGAACCACCATTTTTATTAAGCTAACTATTAAGGAAATCCCAGCATTTCTCATCATGCCCTGCATATTGGAATCACCTGCAGACCAAGGAATCAATTTCTTGTAATGTGACCTGGAGCCTAGGATTTTTTTTTAATATATATTTTTAAATTACCTTTATTTTGTTTATTTAGTTCGTTTATGTGGTGCTGAGAATAGAACCCAGTGCTTCATGCATGCTAGGCAAGCACTGTACCACTGAGCCACAATCCCAGCCCTTTTTTTAGTTGTTGATGGACCTTTATTTTGTTTATTTATATGTGGTGCTGAGAATCAAACCCAGTGCCTCACACATGCTAGTCAAGCACCCTACCACTGAACTACAAGCCCAGCCCTCACTGGGATTTTTGAAAAACTCCTCTGGAGATCACAGCACCAAACGTGTCCATGTTACTATGTTACAACATTCTAGCCCCTCGCAAAAGAGCAAATGACTTCTCTCAGAGTACCCAGTAAGTATTAATTTATTATCCTCAGTTCTTGAACAAGGTCTTTGCCAATTTCTTTCTTTCTCTCTCCCCCACCCCTCCACCCAGGGATTGAAGCCAGGGTCATTTTACCACTGAGCTACACCCTTAGCCCCTTTTATTTTTTATTTTGAGACAGAATATTGCTAAATTGCTGAGGCTGTCCTCAAACTTGCAATCCTCCTGCCTCAGCCTCCTGAGTTGCTGGTATTACAAGCACATAAACAATTTCTTTAAGCAAGTATTTATCTCCGGTTACTCCTGAGCTCCCTTTCCCCTCTGCGAACATCACATGGGTTCCTGATTATTGAACAGAGTATACCCTCTCCCCCCAGACCCCCAGCCATGCTCTCACCTGGCTGCAGGGCTCCCATAGGGCTCTCTGTTTGGTTTGTAGCTGGGCCAGGGTCTAAGAGACCAGGGATGAGGGACTTGGGGGTTCCTGGAACCTCCATTGCTCCTCTCACCCGCTGTGGGGAGATGGGGTCTGCTCCATTCATTGCTGCTATCTCTGAAATGATTAAAAAAAAAAAAAAGTCCAAATGAGGAAAATGGGACCTTGAGTCAAACAGAACTGGGGTCTTCGACTGCACAGGAACATTGTCCCTTCCCACCCCTGCTCAGCACCCTTTCTTTGATACCTACCTGGCTTTGGTTGCCCATCAGGAGCCTCTGAGGCTGGAGGATGTGTGGGCTGAGGTCCTGGGGGATCCTTAACATCAGGGAGGTCCGTCTGCATGGGCTGGGGACCTGGGGAGCTGACTTCCCAGGTTTCCCCAGCTCCAGTCTTCTTGGGAGGCTCTACTGGTAGCTCCTCAGCAGGAGGAAGGCTTCTAGCCAATGCCAAGTCTGGCCGGGACCCTGCTTCCCGAGTGAGTGCCACCTCAACCGGGGATACTGAGCCAGCATTGGGGACTGCTGGATCTTGTTGGGTGAAGAGGGGGCCTTGAACTGCCTCTTGGAAATCCTCCTCATGGCCCACCTCTTCCTCTAGCACTGGCCTCTTGACAACACCTGCGTGGGGCTCAAGAGTGTGGGGAGGGCCCTGGGGGTCTGAGGGAGAAGTCTGTGGGAGCCTGATCTTGGCTTTGGCCTTTGGACCCTCATCTCTAGGTGGTAGCTGTTCTGCTTGACCTTGGGGCTCCTGTGGAAGGGGAGGAACTGTGGCTACCCTGAGTTGAAGCTTGGGAGTTGGAATGAAAGGGAGGTGGGGGAGACCCACTGGGTGGGGGACTGCTGCTTCTGGCTCTGGAGGCTCCTGTGAATCAGGGGGTCCTGTCCAGCCCTGGGAGCTGGGCCCTCGAACTATCTGGAGGTCATCAGTTACTGGGAGTCGCTCTCCCTGAATCCCGTGAGCTGCTTTGGGCCCATGCAGAGCTGGGCCAAGGGGAGAGTCTGCAGGCCTCTCAGGGCCTTCAGCAGGAACCTGGGGGACATCAGAGTGCCAAGGGCCCTCATCACTGGGGTTCTCCCAGAGGAAATCAGAGGCCTGGGACACTGAGCCAACAGGGCCCTTGGGGTGGGCTCCTGGGGTCAGGTGGGGTTCTGAGTCCTCAAGTGGCCTGGGAAGGCCCCTTCCCAGAGCAGGGCCAGCCCCCAGGTTCAGCAACAGTAACAGCAGCAGGAGGCCATGCGCACGAGGCCGTGGGGCCATGATCTACTCTGATGTCCGGTGTAGAGACCTCAACTTCCAATCCTCACTGGATGAGCCTAAAAAGAGGAGAGAGGATGACGTGAAGGTTGGGGGTTCCTATGGCTTCCCCAAGGGACTGGTGGGAAAGAAAGAAGAGACACAGGCAGTAGCTTCTCCCCTGCTTTTAAAACTGCATCTCTCTTGGGGCTGGGGATGTGGCTCAAGCGGTAGCGCGCTCGCCTGGCATGTGTGCGGCCCGGGTTCGATCCTCAGCACCACATACAAACAAAGATGTTGTGTCTGCTGAAAACTAAAAAATAAATATTAAAATTCTCCCTCTCTCTACAAAAAAAAAACAAAAAAAAATTGCATCTCTGGTCATGCCCACTTGCCCTGCCCACTTGCCCTGCTTCAAAACCTTCCATGGCAGGGCGCGGTATCACATACCTGTAATTCCAGCGATTCAGGAAGCTGAGGCAGAAGGATCTCAAGTTCAAAGCCAGCCTCAGCAACTTAGCGAGGCACTTAGCAACTCAGCAAGTCCCTGACTCTAAAGAAAATACAAAAAAGGGCTGGAGATGTGGCTCAGTGGTTAAGCACCCCTAGGTTCAATCCCTGGTACAAAAAACCAAGAACAAACAAACAAATTCCATGGCTCATCTCTAGGTGGTGGCTGTTCTGCTTGACCTTGGGGCTTCCTGTGGAAGGGGAGGAACTGTGGCTACCCTGAATTGAAGCTTGGGAGTTGGAATGAAACACTGCCCTTAGGAGGGAACACAAGCTCCTTTCCCGGCCTTCTAAGGCCACAGCCAGCCCCGTCTGCTCACCTGTTGTCCTAATTCCCAGGGCTTTGCTCCTGAGTGCCTTCAGCTTGGAATACCCTCTGCCTTCTCTTTCTTTACTAATTGAAATTCTATTTTTGAAGGCCCAGCTTCAATAAGAGAATGGTAGACAGGAAGAAGAATGTGCACCTGTCTTTGAGGAGGGACCAAGTTGGAATCCCTGCTTTGCCATTTACTGGGTGAGAATGACTTGACTTTTTTTTTTTTTTTTTTTTTGCCATGCTGGGCATCCATCCCTGGGCCTCACATGTGCTGGCCAAGTGCTTTAGCACTGAACTACATCCTCAGCCCTTTTTATTTTATTTTGAGACAGGGTCTTCCTAACTTGCCTGGGCTGTCCTCCAACTTGTGATTCTCCTGCCTTAGCCTCCTGAGTTGCCGGGATTATAGATGTGCTCTGACATGCCTGACTTTTTTTTTTTTAATACTTTTTAGTTGTAGAAGGACACAATACCTTTATTTTATTTATTTTATGTGGTGCTGAGGATCGAACCCAGGGCCTCACATGTGTGCTAGGTGAGTGCTCCACCACTGAACCACAACCCCAGCCCTTGACTTCACTTCTTTGCTTCACAGTTTTCTCATCTATAAAGCAAGATTATAAGAGCACCTAACTTCAAGGGGGTTCTCATGAGACTTAAAGGAGAAAACACACAGGACCAGGCCTATAATAGGGGCTTAGTTAACATTAGATCCCTATTGTTTTTCCCTTTGTCCAGAAAGATTTTTCTCCCCATTCTCTTTTTTTTAAAAAAAAAAATTTATACTTGTCGATGGACAGAACACCTTGAGACCCACCCCAACCCTCTCTGTTCCTCTTAATTATTTCTTTTTTAAAAATATTTTTTAGTTGTTGATAGATCTTTTTTTTTTATTTATTTGTATGTGGTGCCGAGTATTGAACCCAGTGCACTACCACTGAGCCACAGCCCCAACCCCTCTCTTAACTATTCCAACAAATAGATTGAGCGCATACTGTGTGCCAGGTCTTGGGGATAAAGCAGTGAACAAGATTGCCCTCATGAAGAAACAGACAATAAATAATTTTAAACAAGTTAAGCTATAAAGGAAATAAAACAGGGTTAAGAAAGAGAGGGATGAGGGCCTCTTTACACAGGGGGTGCCAGGAAGGCCTCTCTGGAGTGATAACTAAGCTCAATGTTGAATACTAAGAAGGTTGGAAGGAAAAGCAGTTGGCAGAGGGTCCAGAGAGTGCAAAGGCCCGGAGACAGGCATGAGCTAATGAGTTCAAGAACTAAGAACACTAGCGAGGCTGGAGCACAAAGGAGAAAGTAGAAGATGAAGTCAGAGTTGGGCGCGGGGTGCACACCGATGATCCCAGCAACTCAGGAGGCTGAGGCAGGAGGATAGGAATTCCCAGGCCAGCCTCAGCAACTAGCGAGGCCCTGTATAACTCAGTGAAACCGTGTCTCAAAGTGTTTAAAAAGGGCTGGGAAGGTAGCTCAGTGGTACAGCCCCCCCCCCCCAGGCTCAATCCCACTAACCACTGCCCCCAAATCAGGAAGGCAGGGGCTAGATCGAAAGGTGTTTTGCAGGCCACCATAAGGCCCTTGGAGGTTATTCTTCATGCCCCAGGAAGCCATTGGAGACGGGACCATGGGAACACCAAGGGAGAGAGAGGCCAGCGCAGATAGATACCCAGGAGCAGTAAAGCACTGGCTCATTTCAGCCTGGGCCCCCTTCCTCCAGGAAGCCTTCCTTGCCTGACCCCTCCTAGGCCCTGGTTGTCATGGTTCTACATGTAATAATTTCAGGGGGGTTCCAAGACCTCAAACCCGAATCCAGACTCTGCCTTTACAGCCTGGTTTGTTGGTTTCTTAGACATTCCCCAAGCACAGTGCTGTGCTCCCAGCCCAGGGGAGGGGCTGGAGACCCACAGACAGGTCTCAGTTCCAGGGTTGGAACTAAGGGTATGCAGAGGGTGACCCAGAGAGGCCCTTCTGTAACACAGGTACTGGTTATTAATAGTGCTCCTGGGCTGAACTACCCATTAGGCTCCTGTGCTAAGCTGAGCTCTAGGTCATTCTGCCCTCCTTTTACAAGCAGGTGGGAGTATACCCATCTCCCAAGGGAGGAAACCAAGGTTCAGAGAGGTTGAGCAACTGGTCCAAGGTCACACAGCCAGCCTAGTGGACACACCAGGGGAAATGAAGCCCACTATGGCTCTTCTTGCAGAGGGGATTGGAAAAGCTTTGCAGAGGAGGAGCTGGTTCAGTTGAGCCCTCAGTGGTAGAGATGCCATCTGCCTACCACCCCCATCGATCGGAGAGATGTGGGCACGTGCAGATAAGGCGGGGGCTCGCCCAGAGCTGGGGACCCACTGCTGGAGTGACGCTGGGGGGTGGGGAGGTTTCCCTGCCGCAGGACGGAGAGAATGGCCTGGGGGCAGGGCCGGGGCTGCCGCAGGGCAGCCCGCAGGAGCTGGTCGGTCTCCGGTTACCTCTCTTCCTCCTCCTCCGGTCTCCTCGCCCTGGCTCCGCGCCTTCCCGCAGTGTCCCTGCTGCGGGTGGGCTCCGTGCCGGCCTGGTCGCCCGCACCCTCAAGGAGGGCTGCAGGCCACGCGCCCGGCCTGGGTCCTGCCATCGCCCCCTCCCAGGGCCGGCTCCTCACCTGGGCGCAGCCCCGTTCACCTTGCGCGCGTCCCCGCAGCCGCTCCCCGCCGCAGCCTCCGAGATGCTCAGACTTGGCCAACAGAGCCCGGCGCTGCCGATCGAGCCCGCCCACAGGAGCGCCAGCCCCGCTTAACCCTTTCCCCTTGGGGGTGGACTCTTCTCCCAGTCCTGACCTCCCTTCTCTCAGAGCTTCTCTCGGAGCAGAGCTGAGGTCGCCTCCCAGGGACGTGGGAAAACCTGCAGCATCCCTGCAAGCAGGACAGCCAGCCTCCGTTTGCATTCCTCCCAAGACGGGGAGCTCACTTCCTTGATATCTTATGGGGACTCACACATGCATGCATCCTCACCCACTGGTAAATCCTCCCTGCAGCTTGGTGTGTATTCTTCAGATCATTTTCCAATGCAGTTACATATACAATTACATAAATAGGAATGAGATCATACTGTATGTGTTGTTTTTGTAACTTGCTTTCCCCCTTCACGTTACAAAGCATCCTGGCACATATCTCACGTATATATCCAAAGGTCTACTTCACTTCTTGTGTATGCTGTTGAGAATGCCTGCATATGGTCAGCTGGTAATCTTTATTTTTCCTGTCCCTTGTGGTTATTATATTTAGCTTGGGTCTAGCCATTTACTAGCAGGAATAATGGAGTGGGGCCATTCTTGCATGCATGTCTTGTGCACATTGACACCTGTCAGACCTGTCAAACTGTTTCCTAGCTGAGGCATGGTTAGATCTGTAGTTCTGTACATTTTCATGTCTGATATCAAATGTCCAAAGGTCCCACTTTGGATTGTTCCTGACATACTAAGTATCCATCACTACACTCAATGTACACTTGTACATTGCTGGTGGGACTGCAAATTGGTGCAGCCAATTTGGAAAGCAGTATGGAGATTTCTTGGAAAGCTGGGAATGGAGCCACCATTTGACCCAGCTATTCCCCTTCTCGGTCTATTCCCTAAAGACCTAAAAAGAGCATGCTACAGGGACACTGCTACATCGATGTTCATAGCAGCACAATTCACAATAGCAAGACTGTGGAACCAACCTAGATGCCCTTCAATAGATGAATGGATAAAAAAAAACGTGGCATTTATACACAATGGAGTATTACTCTGCATTAAAAAATGACAAAATCATAGAATTTACAGGGAAATGGATGGCATTAGAGCAGATTATGCTAAGTGAAGCTAGCCAATCCCTAAAAAACAAATGCCAAATGTCTTCTTTGATATAAGGAGAGTAACTAAGAACAGAGTAGGGTCGAAGAGCATGAGAAGAAGATTAACATTAAACAGGGATGAGAGGTGGGAGGGAAAGGGAGAGAGAAGGGAAAATGCATGGAAATGGAAGGAGACCCTCAGAGTTATACAAAAGTACATACAAGAGGAAGTGAGGGGAAGGGGAAAAATAATATAAGGGGGACAAATGAATGTCAGTAGAGGGGGCAGAGAGAGAAGAGGGGAGGGGAGGGGAGGGGAGGGGGGATAGTAGAGGATAGGAAAGGCAGCAGAACACAACAGACACTAGTATGGCAATATGTAAATCAATGGATGTGTAACTGGTGTGATTCTGCAATCTGTATATGGGGTAAAAATGGGAGCTCATAACCCACTTGAATCAAAGTGTGAAATATGATATATCAAGAACTATGTAATGTTTTGAACAGCCAACAATAAAAAATAAAAAAAAAGAAATATATATATGTATATATATATATATGTATATATGTATATATTTATATAATACATATACTATATAATTTATATCATATATATATATATATATATAAAAAAATATATATATGAGAGTGCTTAGTTGGTAGTTGCACGTACCTGAAATCCCAGTGACTTGGGAGGCTAAGGCAGGAGGATTTCAAGTTCAAGGCCAGCCTCAACAACTTAATGAGGCCCTTAGCAACTTAGTGAGACCCTATTTCAAAATAAATAAATAAATAAATAAAAAAGGCTGGGGATGTTGCTTAGTGGTAAAGTACTCCTGGGAGTTCAGCACCCAGTACAGAGAATAAATAAATAAAGGAAGAAATAAATAAAGAAAAATTCTTTCCAAAATTAAGTTAAACCTCCCTCCCAGTGGTTTCCTACCTCTGGCTATGCCAAGGCCTATATCATGTAGTTCTCTCTCTCTCTCTCTTTCTCTCTCTCTCTCTCTCTCCCTCTCCCTCTCCCTCTCCCTCTCCCTCTCCCTCTCCCTCTCCCTCTCCCTTTCCCCCTCCCTCTCCCTCTCCTTTAAGATGGGCCTTGCTATCTTGCCCACGCTGATGTTGAACTCCTGGGCAGAAGTGATACTCCTGCCTCAGCCTCCTAAGTAGGTGTGGCTCCAGGTCTCTTCCCCCACGGCTTCCCTGAAGCTCTTCCGACTCTGGAAGGTGGCATGGGCTTTTCCCATCTCACCATTGCCATCTGACCAGCCCTCTTTCCACTCTGTGAGCCCCTTCAGAATCGGATCGGCCCCTCTCATTTCTCTGGAGTCTTCTTCCATTTCTTTCAGCCTTCCCTTTTAGAACAGGATTCTGGGCTCTTGAGGTTATGGTGTCTCTCCTGTTTGCTTCTTACCACTCCATGATGCACCCCTTAAAGTACGACTCTTGGGAATGAACCCTGTTGGCCATAAACTAAGCTTTCACCTCCTCTTTCCTAATATCTACTCCTGTGTTAATATGACCTCTTATAGATTGATTTGCAGTGTCTCTCAAGGGCTCATGTGTTAAGGCTTGGTCACCAGCCTGTGGTGCTACTGGGAGGTGGTGGAACGTTTTGGAGAAAGGGATGAGTGGAAGAAAGTTATGTCACTGGGGGTGGCCTTTGAAGGGGTTATTGGGACCTCAGCCACTTCCTTCCCCTCTCTCTGCTTCTATGAGGTGAACAGACCTCCCTACCACATGCTCCTGCTATCATATACCGTGCCACAGGAGGCCCAAACCCAACAGGACCTTATAGTTTAGATATGAGTGTCCCCCCAAGAGACAACGCAAGAATTTCCAGAGGTGAAATGATTAGATCATAGGAGGCATGACCTGATCCATGGATTAATCCATTCATGTGGATTAAGTGGGTGATAACTGTAGGCAGGTAGGTGTGGCTGTACGAGGTAGGTCACTGGGGATGTGCTTTTGGGGTTTATGTTTTTTTCCTGGGAGCAGAGTTCTCTCTCTACTTCCTGGCCATCCTGTCCTGAGCTGCTTTCCTCTACCACACCCTTCCGCCATGATGTTTGGCCTCATCTTGGGCCCAGTACAATGGATGCAGCTGACCACAGACTGAACCCCTGAAATTGTGAACCAAAATAAACCTTTTTTCCTTATGAGTTGCTTAACTCGAGCATTTTGTCACAGTGACAGAAAGCTGAGTAGCACATGACCTCACGCTAAATGGATGTTTTTGGAGGTCAGGTCATTTTGTTGACCAATATGGATCTACTAGGTCTTCCCTATCTCTTGTGTGCTCTTGGTTTCCTTTTCTTTTAACTTTTTTATAGTTGTCATAGACAGGATGCCTTTATTTTATTTGCTTACTTTTATGTGGTGCTGAGGATGGAACCCAGGGCCTCATACATACTAGGCAAGCGATCGACCACTGAGCTACAGCCCCAGCCCCTCTTGGTTTCTTGGTCCTCAATCTAGCATTTGACCCGTGCTGGTTAATTTATCTTGTTAGATCTGGCCAGTTGTTCTGTCCTTGTTGGACATTCTCCGGATCTTGATTCTATGTATAGCAGATAACTGGCATTTTGGGGGATTGTCCCAAATCTTCTCCTCTGGCCAGTCTTAGAGGTCACTTCAGAAGCTGCAGGGTCCAGATCCCTCCTCTCGCTGCTGCCCCTGGCGACCTCTGATGGACCTCCTTTCGAGATGTCAAGATCCCCTTAGCAGCTCAGCACTGGCCTGGTTCTCGTCCTCAGTTTCTCCTTAGGGGGCAGGTGTGTGTTCAGCCCCCATCCGCAGGACGGCCCTCTGGCTGCCCTCTTTGGAATCAGGAGCCCCAATCCCGTAGTGTTTCCAAGCCACCCATTGCAGACAAAGGCAAGAGAGATCATGATCCCTTTGGCCAGAGGCCAGACGGGGAGTGGAGGGAATGTGAGTGGGGAACATTAGGCACCAGGTGTGGTCAGGAAACAGCTCCACAAGGATCTCTCAGCTTCAAACTGGGGACTCTGGGATGGCAGGGGTCAGGCCCTGGGGTGTGTGGGGAGAGTGGTGGCCGGTAGCTCCCATTGAGGTACACACCTTATGTGCCTTCTTCTTTTTAAGCCCTCACAACAACCCTATATACTATTATGCTCTTCATTTTACATCTCACAAGTGGAAGCAACTTGTCAAAGGTCACACAGCAGCTAAAAAGGCCGCAAGTCGGACTTTCATGATGATGACACCGTTCTGCCTCTCTGGAAGAGCCTCAGAGAGAGAGAGAGAGAGAGAGAGAGAGAGAGAGGAGAGGAGGATGAAAACTCCATGCCTTCCAGATGGCCCCTGTAATTTGGAATAGAGTCTATGAAATCCGGCCCTCCAACTGGGAACTCTGTAGAGAGGACTTCAGACCAGCACATCTGGAATCCGTTGGGAGCTGTCACTCAAAAGTACCCTGAAGGCTTCCAAGGAAACAGAGAAGGAAGGAAAAAGTAAGGGAGATGTGGCTGGCAGAGATGAATTCTCAGTCTTGGATAATGCCCAGAACAGTGGGCTGGATTTTCCTTCTGGCTGGTCACTCTGGAAGGCACAACTAATGAACAAAACTGGTGCGGGCTGGTGCACCTGCCAGCTGTCCTTAGCTCTGGGGGCGTGGC